ACAAAAGCCCTTGGCAGGTCTATGTTAGGGTTCCAGGACTCTAAGATGGTGAGAGGAACTCAAAATGAAATCTTTCCCTTGGCGATTATATCTACAATTGGGAAGTTTGATGTCTCCCGAATTTGAATCAATAGTAGCAAATTGTGTGATATCATGTATTTCAAACTTTTTGAAAAGAAGATACTGGAGAGAGGAAGCTTATGGCCATATAAATATTCAGATTTACATGCATTCAACAACACGACAATATGTCTTTGAGGATACGTCAAAATGATTATATCAATAAGCGTAGGTAAATACATTTGATCTATCAGTTCACAATTCGTCTTGTAATTGTAATATGTGGGATCTTTTTAATATGGCCTTCAAATTTATAGCTTTTATTTTTAATTTCATTGTAAATCATTCCAAATTTTGAATATTAGTATTTAAGACAACTTCAAGCACAAGAAAAATATTTTAATTTTTTTTGGAGTATTTAATTGTTATGTTTGTTATTCCAACAAGTTTCAATCTTTATAAGAGAATATGAAGATTGACATTATTACTTGAGAGTATGTGTCCAAGAAAAATATATTGGTTTTTTGTAACTAGATGAAATTTGAAAATCTAATAAAAACATTGCTCTATATTTACTTATATAAAGATAAAAAATAAAAAAATAAAAACAAAGAATGATTTTATTTTAAAGGAGAGATATAAATGTATAACAAAACGGAAACATGACGCTATAATATACCAACATAAAATAATGGTTAAAAGAAAGAAAGAAAAAAAAAGAGGTGACAAAATTGTAAATTTACTAGGTAGATTGTGTGCATTATTGAAAAAGTAAAGTAAGAAAAAAAAAGTCTTGAGCATGATCTCAAAATGTTAGGAAGATCCTAAAGTCCCACGTTGATTGGAGATAGAGTATTGAAATAGTTTATATAGAGTGACACCCCTCACCTTACCAACCGGTTTTGTAAGGTTGTGTTAGGCCAAACTCTAATATGGCATTAGAGCCTATCGATCGGACCTTGGGCAGCCCATTATTTAAAATCCACGTTATGAAGATCCTAAAGTCCCACATTGGTTGGAGATAGAGCATTGAAATAGTTTATATAGAGTGACACCTCTCACCTTACCAACCAGTTTTGTAAGGTTGTGTTAGGCCATACTCTAATACAAAACAACAAAAAACTTTACTCTACCCCGTAAAGAATTATATCAAGAAATAAATATCCATTTACAAAGAAAGTAAATTAAATAAATACATTCACAACATCCATTTTAATAGCATATAACGACAAAATACCTACAAATATGACAAAGCCTACAAATATGACGAAATTGAAATGCTCGCAATATCCATGTCTCGGAGTCTACGACGTTGATAACGTCCAAGTCATTGATTGAATATGCATTGAGTCGAAACTAATCTATTAGTCTAAAACAGACAAACACCATACCAAGATGGGAAAACAAAATAATGCCGCAATAAGACGACAACAAACACAATGTCGCACTAAGACGGCAAAATCACGAAGAAAAAAACTAAAAATATATGTAAAATCGCTTATTTGAATTAAAATGAAAGGAAAAAAAAATTATAGGGGTGATTTTGAATTTAAAAAATTGACCATAAAACCACCCCTCTTTAATGGATGAAAAAAATTGACCCTAAAACCACCCCTCTTTAATGGATGAAAAAATGAGAAATACTAGGGTTAAAGAAATAAGGGAGGCACTGCAAAATTTTATTTTATTCAACAAGTTCCAACTTTTATAAACGAATCTAAAAATATGTAACAATCAGAATTCACATTATTACTTGAGAGTACGTGTCCAAAAAAAACGTATTGGTTTTTATAACTAGATGAACTTTGAAAATTTAATAAAAACACTGTTCAATATTTACTTGTATAAAGATTTAAAAAAAAATTTGAGGGAGAGATATAAGCGTATAACAGAATGAAAACATGACACTATAATATGCCAACATAAAATAAGGGATAAAAGAAAAAAAACCGGTGACAAAATTGTACAATTACTAGGTAGGTTGTGTGCATTATTGAAAAATTATGAGCATTATTGAAAAAATAAAGTAAGAAAAAAATAGCCTTGAGCATGATCTCAAAATAGCAATAAACTATTCCCCCTAAAAAAGTTATTTCAAGATATAAATATCTATTTACAAAAAAATTTCATTAAATAAATAAAGTTGAATACTTCTGTACCTCTAAAATTTGGTTGAATACATACTTATCATTCATTTATGAAATATCATGTAATTTTATTATAATAATTTATTTTAAAATAAATTTAAATTTTAAAATGATCTTAACTAATTATACTGGTAAAGGTGGACAAATTTGAAGTGTCTGTTTGAAACTGATAGATTCATTGTTTTTTTTGTGTGCAAACGAATTGGGTCGAGTTAGGTGTTAATTCATTCTATTATTTAATTTGAATAGTATAAATTGATTCAGTCGGACTCAAATAACTATTTTGAACTCTTCGGAAACCAAACCCAACCAAATTCAACTAATATTTATTTTATTTATTTTTACTATCATAGGGTTGAATCCTATGCAGTGCATTCTATGATGTTGTCCCTTCATTTGTATATATCCTTTCCCAATTTTTAATACAATGTAATTTTATTTATTTAATTTCTATCAATTCTTAACTATTAGAAAAATAACATGAGGGATGGCAAAAGTTAAGGGCATGAGAGAATTCATTTTCTTATAAAAATAGGATTTATAATGTTGTCTGATTATTATTATTTTTATAATTTAATGATGACATTGTTTATTCACAAAAATAAAAAGACATTTAATATGAAATTTTAAGTGTTATTTAGTTTGTGGTTTAAACTATCATAATGACCAAACTAATGTCAAATGATATCATGTAATAATAACTTTTTTTTCAATAATAAATAAATAGTCCCTATTTGAACCATTCAAAATTTTGTAGTTTTTATTTTTAAAATTAAAAGAAATTAATGTTTGTGAATTTTGTAAAAAAATGGATTATTTTTATGGGTATAGCACAATAAATATTGAATCAATCAAATCCACCCGATTTTAGGGTTCTAATTAGTTTGGTTTGGGCCGATATTTTAGTGTTTATTCGATTTGAGTAATCGATTTTAGTGTTAATTCGATTTGAGTAATCGATTTGAGTAAGCGATTTCAAATATATATTAATTTGTATATTCTTCGCTATCATGTTTTTTCAATTTATTTTCTACTATTATTTTTTAAAATAATACATTTATATAATTTGTTGCATCTATTTCATCCTCTACTTTTCAAAAAAATTACAAGTTGTACTTAATCCATACAAAGTATTAATAAATAAAACACATAACAAAAAGTTGTCTGTCATACACTAAAACTAACATGTTTCACCCCAAATACATATCAAAACTATTTTGCAGCAAGACTAAAAGAAATTTTGTTGAAGAATAAGAAGCAAAAAAATTATTAAAAAAGAGACCTTCAACACACGAAAAAGGATAATTATAACCATCGGTTTGGCTCACTAGTTTGACGGTTCCTAAAAATTAAAACCAAGAATCTAACCAAACCACATCGGTTTTCATTGGTTTGGTTCGGTTTTTAAGGCGAACAAAAAAATCGGTTTTTTCGGTTTAGTTTGACGATTTAATCAGCATTTTTTGGTCTACTTACACTCCTACCTGATTTACCCGCCAAATCGATTTAGCCGAATCCGCCAAAAATTGAAATTTCATCGGTCAAAATTGAGCCTTTAGAATAAAATTGCAATTTGCATCAAATATAAGTTTTGATCTCGATATTGATCCAAATCGATCGATTGTCAACCTTAGTTATCGATATCCAACTAAAACTCAATGATACATAAAAATTTACCATAAATAAATACGAAAAACTAGTACATGATAAAAATTTGCAAAGAGAAAAATAAAAAAAATAAAAAAAATCTTTGTTAACGTGTTTATAGCCAACACAATTGTCACAACTCACAAGCAATCTTAATCGAACCTTCTCACGTTTGGGATTTACTGGTTTTGCCTTCTTCGAATCTAGAGGCTTTGTTGGAGGTATTGCCATAGGGTGGAAAGCTGATAAACTGCAAGTTCACATTTTAAAGCAACATATTTCTCCATTCTAGAATTATCACTGAGGAAGGCAATCTTTGGCATCTTTCAGCTGTTTATGCTAGCCCTCTAGAAGATAAAAAAAAAAGGATCTTTGGATTGAGATATCTAATATTGAGAACACAATGTCAATTGGTTGGATTGTTGGAATAGATTTCAATGATATCCTTCATTTAAGCGATAAAATAGGCGGTCTTCTGACGTCCTTACGAAGATGCACCTTGTTTCAACATCGTATTAATAAACGTTATCTCATCAACTTGAGAAACTCTGGTTATCTTTAGCTTAGAGAGTCCCTTTAACTCATGGTGGTATGAGAATCTATGAAAAATTGGATCGTGTTTTCTGCAATGCCAGTTGAAGAAACCTTTATCCTGAAGCTCGTGAGAAGGTCCTTCACATGATGGATTTTTCTAATCACCATCTTGTGTTACTCACTCTCATGGACAAAGAGCTTAGAAAGGTTACTAAAACTTTTAAATTTAAATGTGCTTGGTTGGTTGATGATACTTTTGAGGATATGTTGAAGAATGCATGGGATATCAATCATCATCTATTGCGTAACCTAAAGTGTATCAAATCCATAACTATGAAGTGGAACCTCCATAACATTAGGAGTGCTAGGAGAGATAAAATCCATATTATTAGTCAGCTTCAAGGAATTCAAAGAGCTATTGAAAATGGAAGGGACCATGAGGGTCTTAGAAAGCTAGAAAAGTAATTTCAAATCAATCTCTCTGAGACTTTGTATAAAGAGGAGCCTATTTGGTATCAACGAGCGAAGATCAATTGGATGGTGGATGGTGATAGAAACACTAATTATTATCATACCAGAGTTGTGCAATTTCGTAGAAGGAAAGCTATTAACATGCTTAAAGATAATAACATTAATTGGATTGAAGACGATGAAGAAATAAAAACTATGTTTCATATTCACTTCAAAAATATCTTCACTATGAAGCTTAATACATTTGACTGGATCCATATTGTTCAAAGGTTCCTTAATTTGAACAATAGTACCTCCAGGTTCTTAAGTTCTGAGTTACATAACACTGAGATAAAGCAAGCTCTCTTTTATATGGCGCCTTGGAAATCCCTTGGGCCTGACGATTTTCTTGCGGGGTTCGATAAAAAAAACTTGGAATAATATTGGTGAGAACATTTTCTCTTTCATCCACTAACTTTGGCAAAAGGAAACTCCTATGGCTGATATTAATTTCATTGATATTTGCTTGATTCCTAAGATCGAGAGTTCCCATGTTGTTACTTAATTCAGACTTATTGCTTTGTGCAATACAATATACAAAGTGTTTAGCAAGATTATTGCCAACAGATTAAAGCACCATATGGATGGTATTTTATCCCCCAACCTATCTGGTTTTATCCCCAATTATAGTATCCATGAAAATATTGTCGTGGCACAGGAAATTCAGCACAATATGCATAGATCCAAGCATAAAGTGGGTTCCTTCATTATCAAGGTCGACCTTGCCAAGGCCTATGATAATATAAGTATGAAGTTCATCAAGAACGTTCTGTCTGAAGTTGGTGTGCCTAATAACCTTAAGGATCTTATCATGCTTGTTGTTACTTTGGTCAAGCTGAGAGTGATATGGTAAGGTGATAAAGATGAGTTCTTTGAGGCTAAAAAAGGATTACATCAAGGAAACCCTCTTTCACCTTACTTGTTCGTTCTCTGCATGGATAAACTCTCTCATTTGATTCATGATGCTATGGAATCCAACAATTGGAAGTGTCTGAAGATTGGCAATAAGGATCCCGGAGTTTCACATCTTATGTTCGTAAATGAATTTATCCTCTTTGGAACAACCAATGAACCTCAAGTTCAAGTGGTTATGGACATCCTAACCCAGTTCTACAACTCCTCTATGAAAAAGATCAACATGGACAAATCTAGCATTATGTTCTCTAGTAATACCCATGTTTATATCAGAAGACTAATTCTTGCTAAATTAGGTTTTAAAGAAACATCCTATCTTGGTACCAACTTAGGGGTTCCTATTATGAGTAAAAACTCTAGAATCAAAGACTTCAGTTATCTTATTGATAAAGTTCAATCTAAGCTGGCCAATTGGAAGAGTAGTCAAATTTCGTTTGCTTGCAAAATAACTTTGGCTAAAGATGTGATTGAAGCCTTGCCCACCTACATGATGATGACTACGACTATTCCCCAAGTTTGCATTTAGAAGATTCATCAGTGTCAGCATGCTTTTATCTAGGGTGATAGTAATGAGAGAAAACATCTTCATTCGATTAATTGGAGCACTATCAGTAAAACTAAGCAACAAGGAGGTCTTGGACTTTAAAATATCAGGATCATGAATAATGCTTGCCTTGCTAATCTGGGTTAGAACTTAAAGGTGAAATGTAATTTGATTTCGGATGCTTTGATGAAGAGCAAATATCTTTTTAGGAGACTAGATACTGGTAGCTTGATCGCTAAACCTTACGAATCCTTCATCTAGAAATAGGCAATGGTGCTTCTATTAATTTGTGGGAGGATGTGTGGGTTGCTCTTAGGGTACAACTCAAAGATCATGTTCAGCATCATGGTGACTTTAGGATCAATATCTCTTCTATGGTTGATCTCATTACTTATGTGTGACGCTAGAACTGGAACTTCCTTTGTAGGTTATTCCCTCAAACTATCATTGGCAAGTTTTGTGTCATCCCTCCTCCCATTTCATCGAATGTAATCACTGATAAATTCTTATGAGGAGGAACTAAATCAGAAATTTTCTCTATTTTTAGTATTTGTTCTTATTTGAGCATTTCTTATTAAGACACTTCTCACTTCCATTAGGATTCCATCTGGAAGCTCCAAGTCCCTAAACGAATCAGAACCTTTATTTGGAAAGCCTTTCTACAATGGAATTATAACTTATGTTTATCTCAAGCGTCTCCAGTTGCAGAACCATTTTTGCGACATCAGTGGGGATCAACTGGACTCGATTGCTCTATTCCCAAAAGAGTTTGGTTTCACCTTGTTAGTCATGGTCTCAAAGCTCAATTCTCCCCCGTTTCCTATCCTGATTGGTTAGTGTTAAACATTTATCAGTGGTTGCACCACTCTGTTCTCGATTGGGCTGCTTTATAGGCCATTGGTTATCATTTCATTTGGATCTGAAGAAACAAAATTTGCACGATCATCATTTTGTTTTTTCTCATAATTTGGAAAATGAAATTCGCAAGCAAATGTCTCTTTACAGGGTTAATATGAGCCTTCTTCGAATAGTGCATCATGGGAATAAGCACCTGACTTCTGTTCAATGGAGCCCTCCTCCTACGGGTTGGATTTGCCTCAATTCTGATGGAGCTTGTAATGGAAATCTATTTGCAAGTTGTGAGGGCCTCTTATGGGATAGCCTTGGGCGTTTGCTTGGTGGTTTTCATAAGTTCCTTGACAATTGCAATAACCTATCTGCTGAATTCTAGGGAGTGTTGTCTAGTTTGGAATTTGCTTGGTAGAAGAATTTCAAGAATATTATTGTTCAAGTGGATAATAAGGTTGTTGCGGATTCCCTTGGTGGGTATGGCCTGGTGCTCATGCAAGGTTTATCCTTAGCTAGATGCATTCTTCTTCTCTCTTAGAATTTTGAGGATGTGAATTTCAAGCATTTTCTTAGAGAGTCTAACAAGTGCCCTAATTTCTTGACCAAGCTGGATTTGCCTAGATTAGATGATGGCATATGGTTTGAAGGTTGCTCGTTAGAGCTTAATCGATTACTCGTCAATGATTGTGTTGTTTCTTCTATTATGCTAGCTGCCTAGTTTCTTTTTGCCTTGGGCGTTTGACCCTCAATTTCTACTAAAAAAATTATAATTTATAGCTAACAGGATTGTCATATATTCTATCTAAATTTTCTTTTCACATGCGCGCGCACACACACGCACGCACACACACACACAGATATATATATATATATATATATATATATATATATATATATATATATATATATATATATATATATATATATATATATATATATATATATATATATATATATATATATATATATATATATATATATATATATATATATATATATATATATATATATATATATATATATATATATATATATATATATATATATATATATATATATATATATATATATATATATATATATATATATATATATATATATATATATATATATATATATATATATATATATATATATATATATATATATGAGACTCCAACTCACACTTGACTTATTATTCTTAACACTCCCCCTCAAGTGTGAGTACGTCCACAATACTCCCCCTCAAATGAAAACTCTTTTATCCACGTATATTTGTACCATCGATGACACCTCTTTCTAAGCATTTCGATACACCTCTTCTTGAGTATTTCGATTTCAACGGGACACCTCTTCTTGGACATTATGATACAAGTAAGTCATTATCTATACTTAAACTAAAGCTCGTGATACCATTTGTTTGGCATGAGGATGAACATTAACATTAGGGGCAAGAGCAACGCACAAGTGAGAGAGACACCATATATCCACCTAAAATCTTAAGGTGATAGATGTGTTAGTTCTTCCAATTATAAATTCACAAGTCTCCAAATTTATAACAAATGTGAGACTCCAACTCATACTTGACTTATTATTATTAACAAAAAGGAATAAAAAGAATGATTATTTATTATTAAATTAAAATGAATGGTTAAGATTGAAATTCAACTTTAATTGTGTTGGGGGAGTTTATCACTAAGGAGTATTGAATATTTGGAGGAGTTTATCATTAGGGAGGATTGAATATTGGGTCAAGAGGAACACAAGTGAGAGAAACACCGCAAATTCACCCAAAACCTTAAGGTGATAGTTGTGTGAGTTCTGCTACTTATAAATAACTCTCCACATTTATAATCAATGTAGAACTTCAACTTACATTTAATATATTATTCTCAACCAATTAAAGGACAATCTACTGATTGTCAAAATTCCATGAAAACATTTCACTTCCAATTCTCATTATTCCCCATTTACATTCTTTTATTTCTCTCTTGAGTTCATGATGAGGATATGGTAAACAACACAAAACATACTTATCCTCCATCATTGAAAAAAAATTAAAGGGCTTTATAATTATTACATATTTCATCATTTCTAAAACAAAACTCTAATCACATTAAATAAATTTTATATTTTTAAATCCTGAAAATTGTACTATTGTGTTGCATAATTAAAAAATTATCGTATTTGATTTTTCCAATAATATATACAAACCACTCCATTATATTTTACAATAATTATTCCGAAAAAAAACATAATTGAACCTTAATTGAAGTTTCCGAACTACAACCTAGAAAATAAATATAAAAAATAAAAGTATTGTAAGATTTTATTTATTAAGTTATTTTAAATATAAATAAGAAAATATAAAGTTGTTCAAAATTAGATAAATAATAGATTGGGTGAATTTTCAAATTAGGAAGTGGCAAGAGTAATATTGCAGTTGCCGTTTTTTCAACTTATTTCAATATAAATAAATGTCTTCAAGAATAAAATTAAATTTTTAAGTGATGAATGATGAAGAATAGACGAAGTGTTGACTGTTCATATTATTAGTAAAGCCCAACGAATGGAAATGCATGGTTCCAAATGTACAGTTCCTAATGTGTATATGTACCTCTGGCGTGATAGCAGCAACATAAAACACTGAATGTATGAAGATAAAGAGTGTAAGAATATTTCAATTTAAGATATTTTTTCCCTAAACATTTTTTTTTTATAAATCTATGATTTATATCCATCATCCCACATGATTAAATAAAAATGTTTTTAGAAAATAAGATTAAAATAATTTAAATTAGGTGTGTATTGTGTTGAGAATGTAATTTTTGTATCAAAGCAAGTATAACTCGACAGAAAGAAGGATGTGTTGAAATTAGCTTAGTGTGTGTCGAATTGTGTTAGATGTCGAAATGTCGAAGCAGTTTGTTTGACATAAGATTTCGACTTAGACCAAAATAAAATTTTTAGACTTTTGTAATTTTGGTTTTTACCTTATGGAACAATGTAGCTCAATTATAAATAGAGGGAGTAACCCCTATTTTAAGTAAGAAGAATAGAGAATAATAATGTAACACTGTCACACCCTAATTTT